CGGGGGGTGGACATGGGGGACATTGGGGGAACTGGGGACATGGGGGGACGTGAAGGGACATGGGAGCCGCGGGGACGCGGTGACAGCAGGGTGTCCCCGCAGGCTGACGGCGCTGGTGCTGCGGGTGCTGGCCCTGGCCCATCCCTACCTGCCGGTGGCCGCGGGTGGCCCCGGGGCGTCCCTGCGGTGGCTGCTGGGACAGCAGCGTCCCGATGGCACCTTCCATGAGAGGGAGCCCGTCCTGCACCGCGAGATGCAGGTGGGGACACGGGGACAGGCCACCTCCAGAACATGGGGGCACCTCCAGGGCCACCTCCAGGGTCACCTCCCTGGGTCACCTCCCTGGGTCACCTGCCCGTGTCAGCTCCCTATCCTACGTCCCCATGCAATGTCCCCAAGCCACGTCCCTGTGCAATGGCCCTGGGCAATGGCCCTGTGCCACCTCCCCATGCCACCTCGCTGTGTCACCTTGCCGTGTCACCTCCCCGGGCCACCTCCTTGTGCAACGTCCCCATGCAACGTCCTTGTGACATGTTCCTGTGCCACGTCCCCATGCAGTGTCCCCGTGCCACCTCCCCATGTCACGTCCCTGTGCAATGTCCCCTGCAATGTCCCCTCTGCAACCCCCCACGAGACCCTTGTGTCACCCCCTGTATCACCCCCCCGTGTCCCCCCATCTCACACCCTCCTGGGTGTCCCCATGTCCCCAGGGCAGTGTGGCAGACCCAGGTCCCGAGGCCACCGTGTCCCTGACGGCCTTCGTGGTGGTGGCCCTGCAGGGGGCACGTGTCCTCCTGCCACCGGACAGCCCCGACCACCCCCACCTGGTGGGTCTCCGTGTCCCCACGTGTCCCCCTGGCCCCCCCCCGTGTTTCCTCCCCATGTCCCCTCCATGTCCCCAAATCCCTGTCCCATGTCCTCTCCTTGTGTCTTTTTCCCGTCCCCTCCCCGTGTCCCCTCCCCACATCCCATCCCCATGTCCCCTGTCCCCTCCCCATGTCCTCAGTGTCTCTTGTCCCCTCCTGTTTGTGTCCCCTCTGGTGTCCCCCAGGGGTCCTCGCGTCCCCACTGGTGTCCCCATGTCCCCATGTCCCATCCCTGGTTGCTGTCCTCTGTCCCCACGCCTCTGTCATGTCCCCATATGCCCCGTGTCTGTCCCCATGTCCCCAGCTGTCTCCAATTCCCCGTGTCCCCATGTCCCCCATGTCCCCAACTGTCCCCATGTCACCCAATGTCCCCCCATGTCCCCATGTCCCCCTGTC